TGGTAAGGCAGCTTTCATTCATCCTTCTTCACAGGAGTTTAGAACACAGTCCCTTTTCACAATCATGAAGCATGTTTCTTCAGGTCCACTGCAAAACTTCAAAGCTCTCAAAGTGCCCTTCAGATTGTCAAATTAACAATCCCAAAGAAAACAGACAATGACATCATACAATTTCTCCAGAATGTCTAAACCTGAGAGGTGATGTGTGCTGGCAAAGCAAGGCTGACCTTCACAGCACCTTGAAGCTGTTGCTTCAGATGTCCAGACATTTTCCATCCTATTATATCATTTACTCTCCTTAACTCTTTATTTAAACTACTCCTTTAAACTATTTATTTAGTAGGATTATATGAATTATGAGACCCTTCATTTTTCCAGTGTAAGTTCTTTAGGTACTATTCTAAATTAAACGCAGGATTTCAACATTCTAGCCTCTTCCTGGGCAGCCAGAGACAGGCCAGGACAGCTTTTCCTCTAGTTTATATGATTTAGCTGTAAGCAATGACAGTTCTCTTGTCCCACCAATATTGTTATTTAGGGTACCCCAAGGAAACATTTCTGCTCAAATCTGTGCACATCCACTGCAGTGTCAGAAAAATTCTTAGAGCAGCAAAGGGGAACTGAATTAATTAAAGAGCAGCTGCATAACCACCATTTAGCTCAGTGAGAACTGGTATTGGAACAGAATTTGCCCCTGTAAGCAATAATAGCCTGAAAAAGCTAGAATTCCCTGTATCTAATTCCTGGTCAGCATAAGGAGCTGTCATTATGCTTTCAGAAAAAGAAAAATTGCTAGGCCTTTCTTTGAGAAAGGACATGTTGCTCTTTATCACAATTACTTCTTACATGTGGCTTTTCAGCTTTGCAGTTGACAAACTGTAGCTAGAAATCCTAGAGTCAAACCAGATTCCCCTTGGAGGCTTCTTGGATCAACAGCCTGAAGTAACTGAATTATAGTTGCTGAATGATGTTCAAGTTCCAAGCGTTGTTTGCTGCACTGCTGCTGCCATCCAGCAAGGCACACTGTACAGAACATTATATTTCATCTAATGTTTATACTAGCAGTGTAACATGGTTATTGTAGTGGTGCTTGTAGGAGAGGGAAGTGTCTGATGATATCCTGGAAAACGTTCTCAGTCTTTTACTTGCTTTCAGTTTCAGAAATGAGCAACAAACCACTGGCATTAGGAGTTCCAAGGAGAGTCCTAAAAGTCTGGTAACACCTTTTTGAAGAAAGACACACCTCTCAGAGGGACTGAAAGAAGAACACAATCATCTCAAAATTCATTTGCTGCCAGAGGAAAATGAACAAAACCCAACAGCTAGTGCACCACAGTCGTTATCCCCCGTGCTGCATTGCGTCGTACACTGACCAGATGCTGTCTGCTCCTGTAGGACCATTAGTCTGTCATTCAGTGTCCTGTTCCCTGGCCTTTGTCAGCAGTCACAGTCCCTGCTGAGGAACGGGGGCCTGCCTGTGCTGAGCACAAGCCAAGGAGTAAGCTGGAAGTGAGCCTTAGAAATAGCACAGCAGTGACTCCAGGCAGTCAGGTACTTGATAAAAGCTGCTGAAAGGGGGAAGAAAAAAAAAAAAGCAAACCTAATGCTGGTGTTTTTTGTCACTTTGTGTTGACTGGAGGAAGGGGAGCTGGGTGTCTGCCTTTCCTAAAAGAAAGATCCTGGCCTCCTTTGAAATCTGTGACCAAAGCCCATAGACTAAGTGGAGTCAAAATTCATTTGTAGCAGAGCAGACACAGACTTCCCTGTAAGGACGTGGGTTTTAAACACACCATCAGAGTGGCTTTAGGTGCCACTTGATTTTCCCAGGACCTGGGATCCCCCTGTTCCTGTAAAAAAGCTGCTGCTCTTTCATAAAGCCTGAGCCCACCCAAAACCCTCAGCTTTGTGAATCTTCAGTGTCTTGGGGAAGGGGGAAAATCTTGAGCACTGAGAAAGGACTATAATTTGCTGACTTTCTGGTGGGTCACACCCACTTTCAACAGAAAAGTGAGCTGTAGCAAGTCCATGATCCTGTCCCAACGTGCCATGCATTATAGCTTTCAGGGTTTTAGTGGTATATGGGCATAAGCAGTTTTTTAGCTCTCTTGGGATGTTGTTTTTTCTTTTTCCCAAAGTATTTAATTTCTTCTTTGAATACATACCACTTTGTTCTGCACCTTCAGAGAACACTCACTGCAGTTTCAAAAGCTTTCACAAAACCTTTGTAGCATTTACAAACTTAAAAGCTATTTGATGCTCACAAAAATCTGATTTTCTGTACTGGATATGTTGACCTGCAGCTATTAAAAATTCAAAAGGACTAATTTGGGACCATAGAGGTTTTTATAAAAAAAAAAAAAACCCAAACACCAACAAAAAACAGTGTTCTGTTTTTCAAATCCTACAGCTTATGTATGTTTGGTTTTTGGGTTTTTTTTTTTTTTTTTTGTTCAGCAAAACTAGATTGGATGAAGATAAATGTAGAGCTCAAAGTTGTGCTACTACTGTTTTATGAACACTACATTGTTTGAAGAGTGTAATTCCTCTTATTTTTTGTATTTATTGGCTGTATGTGCACTTCTTGGTCACTTAAAGTCTGTCAGACTGGGTGGACTGATTTTTATCCTCTATAAATAAAAATCAGCCCTGATTCACCTTTTGTAAGGGCTAACAAAAGCACAGTGTCTCATCTCTAATGCATGAGTTCAGGGTAGGTTGTCTTGTGCAGGCTCTTGGCACAAGAATGAGGCTGTCCCTGAAGTTCAAGCACAAATATTAAGCTTTATAACAACTGCAAGGAACTTGTGCAATTAACTCAAGCTGCTTTTGGGAGCTGAAATACTATTTTTAATTTCCTGCAGTTATGCTTTTGCCATAAATGTAACATGGCATAAGATAATCTGTGACTCCTGATCTTCTCATCCCTTCTCAATTAATTTCTCTAATAACAGCAGTATTTAATCTTGCTTTTACTTTTACAGAGTTAATCTAAAGATGTACTGTTTAGATGTAACTTAATTTCTCAAGAAAGCCTTTTTATCAGCATAGGACAGGTTTGAGGACTTGAGTTAAATATAGGTGGCCAAATTTTTATGAAGATTGTTATTTTGAGACTTATTTTATGTGATTGTAGGCTTGGGTATTTCTAAAAGGTAAATATTTTTGTACTCTTGAACCTTTCAGTATCTTAAAACCTGTTTTTCCTTTTTAAATAAGAAAAAGTACAGTGTTTTTTAAAATACAGTGTTTTAACAAGTCTCATTTTTCTTACTTAAACTATTGATCTCAGGCTAGCATCACACTTTAGTATTTTTTGCAGCAGATCTGATAATCTTTCAGGGGAGTGGAATGTCCTTCTTATAACAACATCACATAATTTGAAGGCCTTATGGAGTCTGAGCATAGTGGAAATGAGGGAAGCCCCAGCTGGATTGTTCTCACTGACAGGGGGGTCATGGCCCTGTGCCTCATCTGTAACCTCTGTCACCTTTACTGGGGTCTCTCTGTGCAACCCTGGATCCTCAGCTGACTTGCTGGATCTGCTAATAATTATATGAAGCTGTAGTAATTGTCAGTCATTGCCCTCTGTTTTCATTGCAATAAAAATGTGCACTGACATTGTTTCAACCTGCTTCCTGTGTGGATTCTGTCTGAAGAGCAAGTCTCCGAACTTTATTTTAAATAAATAAATAAATAATAAAATGTATTGCCAAGAATTTAAAATAAATAAATAATAAATTGTAGTTAGTGTGGATCAGGCATGAAAAAAATTCCTGAAATAAGCTTTTTCACCAATTAAGTTCTTCCACACATAAAGATTATGATGGTGTACAGTTTTTCTGCCTCTCAGGTGCAAATCCCTTGAAGCTGACCCTGGCCAGGCTCAAGGATGATTTTGTGATTTAACTCCTATTATGTCATTTATTTTCTACCTTTGAGATTTTTCACAGCTGTGTGATTCCAACCCAGGATAAAAGATCATTTTAAATACAAGTGTTCAAAAAATACTGTAAAAGGTAGACTATTTTTTTAATCAGTTAAGAGGTGGGGGGAAATATCAGCCATAAAAAGCTGCTTGAAAATGTGAATTAGCCTTACGAAGAGCAGGACCAAGTTTCTGCAGTGATACAATTCAGCTTTTGAACTGACATCCATGGGACTCTGTGAACTTCCTGCCAGTGCCACTAGGTTCTGAGCTGGGATTTTTGGGCCTAGGGTTAGAATATTATTTATTAAATTTATTATTTGTCAAGCATGTAGCACTCATTGCCTGAGAAAATAGTGTCAGGGTCAGGAAAGCTTTTTTACAGCTTTAGCCGAGCCTGCTGAAGGGACAGTGGCAGCTGTGGGAAGGTGCTACAGAGTGACATGAGGAACCCTTTCACTCCTGAACTCGCAGCAACTGCCCTGCTTTGATGAGCAGCACACTCCATGAAGCCTCCTGGCTCATCGGTGGTGCCGACCCCAAGCAAGGTTTGGTGGAAGCCGCCCAGCAGGTTCAGTGTGTGCCCTGGGCCTGCAGCAGCCCGGTTACCCTTCGGTGGAACGGCTGCGCGGGACGTGCTGGAGCGCGGCTCCCCGGCGGCGTCTGAGGGACACTCGCTGACACCATGGAAGGGACAAGACGCTGTTCGGTCATAGGTTGGACGCGACGATCTGCGGGGTCCTTTCCAACCTCACTGACTATAATTCATCTCCACCCTGGTTTTTGAATTCTTTGGGCAGTAACTATGAGATCTGAGGCCTGTATTAATGGCCGTTCCTGACCACAGCTCGCGAAGGGCAGGGGAGCTGTCCCCAGCCCTGGGCCGGGCGGGCGCTGGAAACCGGCTCCAGGCCCGGAGCCCCGCGTCGAGGGCCGGGAGCAGCGGGCAGGCTCCGGGCAGTCTCCGGGCAAGCTTCGGGTCCGCCGCCTGCACCCCCGGTCTGGCACACCCGCCGCCTCCGCCGGGCCGGCGCCACCTGCGCGGCCCCGGGCAAACCCCACCCCCGGGCCGGCCCATGGCGCGGGGCTGCGCGGCTGAGCGGGGCGGCCGCTTCCTGCCCGCGCCACACTGAGCCGCGGTACCGGCGGCCGCAGCTCGGCCGCGCCATGCGCGACTACGACGCGGCCACCGCCTTCCTGGGCGAATGGGGCCGCTTCCAGCGCCTCGTCTTCTTTCTGCTCAGCGCCAGCATCATTCCCAATGGCTTCAACGGCCTCTCCATCGTGTTCCTGGCGGGCACGCCCGAGCACCGGTGTGTCGTGCCCCGCGGGGCCAACCTGAGCGGCGAGTGGCGCAACGCCAGCATCCCGCTGGAGCTGCGGGACGGGCAGGAGGTGCCGAGCCGCTGCCGCCGCTACCGCCTGGCCGCGCTCGCCAACTTCTCGGCGCTGGGGCTGCGACCCGGCTCCGACGTGGAGCTGGAGGCGCTGGAGCAGGAGCCGTGCCTGGACGGCTGGGAGTACAGCCGCGATGTCTATCGCTCCACCATCGTCACCGAGGTGCGCGGGAGCGGGAGGGGAATCCCGGGCAGCCCCGGGGTGCCGCGGAGAACCGTGCGGTTATCGCAGTGCCCGTGCAGCTCCGCCGCGTTCTGGGCTTTCTGCCGGCACATTGATCTGCTGCTAAACCCGCCGTGCCGAGTTTGTTTTGAGGTCTTCTGTTCACTTTCATTTGCATAAGAACGAGGAATGAAATTTTTATAGTGAGGGTGGTGAGACGCTGGAACAGGTTGTCCAGGAGGTTGTGGATCCCCGATGTTCAAGGCCGGGCTGGATAAGGCCTTGAGCAACCTGGTCTAGTGAGAGGTGTCCCTGTCCATGGCAGCGACTAGATGATCTTTGTAAGGTCCATTCCAATCCCTTAACATTGTTTGTTTCTATAATGAGCTTCCAGGTGCAGCCTGTTTCCTTACCCAGCGAAACTGGTTACACTGTGCAAATGCTTCTTGGTTCATCAGGTATCTGTGCAAGGGGCTGGAGCAGGGTCAGCACTGGGTTCAGCTTGCTTGGTGTGACAGAGATGTCTCTTTGAACATCAACAGTGTTTGTTTTCTTTCTTTAAAAAAATAAAGGTGGTAGAACTCATGGAATCTCAGGGTGGTTTGTGTTGGAAGGGGCCTTAAGGAACGTCTAGTTCTAGCCCTCTAGCATGGGCAGGAATACCTTCCACTAGACCAGGTTCTTCCAAGCCCTGTTCAACCTTGCCTTGAGCATTTCTAGGGATGGGGCATTCATAGCTTCTCTGGGCAGCCTGTGCCAATGTGTCACCACTCTCACAGTTTGGAGTCATCCTGAGTTGTGCAAGATGCATGGACTGGGGAGGCCTGGTTTGATGTTTTATTCAAAGGACCCTGAACTTTGCTGTGTGCCCACAGTGCCTCTGCTTTGTCCCTGTGCTCATGTGCTGGGACAGGTCATGTTTGTGTCTGTGCAGGTACACTGCTTGAGTCAAGCCTGGGGTGTGGGCAGCCTACCAAAGGTGAAGCTGTGCTGGAGCTCCATAAAAAATCTGCCATGATTTCTTGTTTTGGAAACTGGGTTGCGATCAGTGTTTGGGTAGTGATGAGTTTGAGTACTAAATGACCATAAGCTGATCTGGGCGCAGAGGACTAAGGTGACTTGGGGAACATGGAAGAGAAGCCATGGCAGCACAAGGAGGATTAAAGATGGGAGCACAGGAGTTGTAGGAAACTCAGTCAAGGGTTTGAATGATTCTGACAAGTGCAAGGCATTGCCTCATCTGTTCCTAAAGAATTGCTGTCTTGCTGGAGAGGAAAGCTGCTCGGAATGTCTCAGCTCCAGTGCTTGCTGAAATGCACTGTTGTGAAAGGCTGAGTACTCTCAGGGCAGTGTAAGGCAGTTGGCATCTTCATGGTCAGGCCTTTCACAGGGGGACACATGGCTGTTGTTCTGAGTGCTGTGCTATGATGGTTATCCTGGCTTAGATGTGCTGCTTTGTCTTGATGTTAATTAAAATGTTTTGAGCTATTGGAGTATTGTCCCGTTTTACAATCTGTAAGAAAAGGAGCTGCTCACGTAGTGCTGAGACTCCCCAGCCCTGGCTCCTCGTCTGTGTGACTTGGCAGATGTCCCGTGTCCGTGGGAGGCAATGTTTGTCTGCCCAGGCATCATGCACTGAGGCAGTATTTTTTTTTCTCATCTAATATTAATGCTTCTGAGGGAGTTTTGCAAGAGCTGTGGCCTTTCACACACTTACAGGTTTTCAGTGTTTAACTTGTTTAATTTCTTGGCTTGGTGGTACTGCTTTCATGATTAACTAATCTTGTGTTTAGTTGCATATCTCTAACTTGTTGAATAGTCATGAGGACCTTTGTCCCAGATTTCCATAGCTGACACTGGGAGGGGGAAGGGGGATTTTTTTTTTTTTTTAAGAAAGGTTTTTGCTGAATCTCTCATGACTTTAGAGAAACCTTGTTTATGGTTCCGCTTTTCAGGGGAGACTTAAAACATTCAGTTCTCTCCCACTTAAAGAGAGACTTTCTTTTCTCAGAGACTAACAACAGAAGGTTGTTATTAAGCCAGTCTGCAGTATTTAACCAGCTCTGGTGTAACAAAATCCCTTTCTGTCTTTTATTTTTTGAAATGCTGTAGCTCAGGGCATAAGAAGGGCTTTATTTTGGCTCAAGAAAACAACTGTGTCATTCCAATTCCTCCACGAGTCCTGTAAAAAAATGAATGTAGGAGTAGTAAAAGTTCATACATGGTAGTAAAAGGACTAAACCAGGAGTAATTAAGGGAAAATATTAACTTCTGCCAGTCATGGCTGTTATACCAGGAGTAGAATTGAGCAGTGGAGTTAAGGGCATGAGTGCACTAGAAATATGATATAATGAGGTGTTAGGTGATACATCAGTCAGAACATTTTAGTTCACACAAGAGTAATTCTTAAACAGTGAACCATAAACATGCTGAATTTTGGATACACTTACTCATCCCCAGCTTCTAAAAAGGTATTGTAATGTTCCTCAGTTTGAAATCAGTGCAGGTGGTGTATGCCAGATTTGCATGGTTTTTGTCTGCTTTGCTATTGGCAAACTTTAGGGCCTCTTGGCTTTTGCAGGGGAAGGACGCACATGGTGGGACTTGCCAGGTGTCTAGAGGCTGGTTAGGTGCAGGGCTGGTGCTCCTTCCTGTGTGGGTGTTCAGAGAGAGAAAGTTCTGGGCAGAGATGAGGACCCAGAGGTTTCCATTCTGTACACCCCAGGGATTCAGGTGCCCTGCTGTGCTGTCAGACACAGTCCCTGGAGATGAGTGGGTTGTGCCAGGGCTTCAGGAAGCAAGGGGAGACTGCAGCAGTGCCATGTGCAGCACACAAATGGGCTCTGGGGCACAGCTGGTTATCCAGAGGTTTCGGTGTTCACCCTGTTGGAAGGCAGAGAAATGTATTGTTTCACTTGGCCAAAATAAAAACACAGGCTTATGCTAGACGTTGTAATTTATAGAGTCATAGAATCATAGAATGGTTTGGGTTGGGAGAGACCTTAAAGATCATCTACTTCCACCCCTGCTGGCATGGGCAGGGACCCCTTCCTCCAGAGCAGGCTGTTGCAGGAGTGGGGCCAGCAGCTGAATTGTAAATCAACCCTGTGTCATCCAGGTTCAGCTCTCACCCAACTCTTCATTCATGTTAGTCACCTCCATTATTTATCATCTTTTAAAGCAGGTGCTTCTTTTTTATTGTTGTAGGTTAATATCTGTTTATCACTGTGGCTGAAGTTCATACTCATAACTTTGCAGGCCCAGGAGCTGAAAAGGCTCTTTGCAGCTTTGAAAAAGCTTAGTATTACTAGTCTTGTCAGAAGAAGGAAAAGAAAGTCTGGTTTTCATTTAATAAGTAAATACAAATGTCTGACAGATAAACAAAGGTGTTTGTAAAATGCTGGGATTTTCAAGGTGTGATTTAAAAAGCACACCATGCAGTAGTGTTTGGAATTTGGTACAAAGTACAGCTATTTCTGACATCGCAACATAAAGTAAGATTAATATTGTTAAAGAATAATAGGCTTGCAGTTGATATTGTTAAATGGAAACAGTGCTCTTTTAGAGGCACTGTGGACAGTTAGTGACAAAGTAAAATTCCCTTTATGTTGCCTTTACTTTTAAATTCAAACTCACCTCAGGTGATGGTAGTGCCCTGTTTCCTTTTTCTCCAGCCATCTCAAAAATATGGTGTATGGGCAACAGTTCCATTTCTGCACTGGAATTGTAAAATATTTGGCAATTTCCTTCCTGTTTTATCTCTGTAAAAATGTAAAACAACTAGAGGAGGGGAAATTAAGCAGAATGTGTATTTTGTAGACACAGACTTCTGTTTGCTTTAGGTAATAAATTTCAATGTAACATTTAGACCTTTTAAGTATTTGGAATATACAAATGTGTTTTTAGAGGAAAGGGTGTTTAATAACACTCAGAGCTTTCAAGTAAGCAGAGAATACTTGTATGGATATAAACAAAATCAGATTCAGCATCAAAGGTTGTCAGTACTTGGTTGTGTGACTGAGATTTTTTGAAAAACCTGACTCTACTTGCTGAGAGAAGCAAGTGGAAAGAGGGAATACAGGGTACTGGGCCATCTTCAAAAAGTCTTGATTTTTAAAAAGAAGATATTCATACATGGAACTAGCCACTTAATTTTTTAATTATGCTTGTTATTCTCAGCAAGACATGAAAAGAGTTACAAAAATAAAGGAATGGGAAGACACAGTATCTTGTAGCTGTAAAAATTGTTTTGCCTATAAGGCTTTTCCTTGTAGGACAGGAGTACAACCAGGTGGGGCCCTGAAGTTTTGTATTTGTCACAGTCCAGCTTTGATTAGGGTTCTTGTAGTGGCATTAGGGAAGGGTCTTGACTTTGTGGGAGGGAAGAAATCTGATGGAGTAGTTTATAGAGCTTTTATTCTCAGTTTTGTCACTAGGCTTGCCTTTCTAGCAAGGGATTTGGAGACATGGTTCCAGGCAACTGGCATGTAAGAGATAAAGCAGAACTTGGGCAGTGCTCTCCTAGAGAGGTGTGTAAGTGATGACTGTAAGTGCCTGGGACTGTTTGATACTCGGGCCCCAAACCTGTGCTTGAGAAGCAACTGCTTCAGTCCCTCTCCTTTTTGGTCCCCCTGCCTTCTAACCCAAGCTGTCCACATTCCTGGCTATCTCCATAGCCTGTCCTCTTTTCCCCATCACCTTTTCCCAGCTGTCCTCACCAGCACTGTCATCAGCCAAGGATCTGCTTACGGAGGTGCATAAGCACAGCTCGGCTCCAGCACACAAGGGAGCCTTTGTGCTGGGTGTGAGGCTGCTGACAGGCATCACCCCAGCCTGATCAATTGCCTGGAAAGTAGAAAAATCACAAAATATCTGTTAGATGAGTAAGAAGACAAGTTTAATTTGCAACAGAGGATGTCCTAAAGTTATAACAAAATAGATCAAGAATGCTCTGTTCTGTTGGGTACCAGTGTTGAGCAGCTCAATGAGCAGCTTCACAATCAGCAGCTGCTCTTTGAAAACAGAGTGGAAATGTTTTTCTCCTGTTTGAAGCCCAGACACCTTGCCAAGGTTAACCTTATCTTGTTCACTGGGGCAAAAGCTGTTACAGCTAGCAGACTAGTTTATAAGATACTAAGAAGTGAAAATAGCACATGCTTCTAGAGCACTAGGTCATGGTATGCTGTGTCCAAACAGCACTACCAGCCGCAGGGGTTGATTAGCAACTACTCCTGGGACACTTGCTCTTTGCCATGCTGATCTAGCAGTGTTGCCTTGGTGACTTCCTCTTGGACAATGTGCAGTTGAGGTAAGAGTATGGTTGCAAAACGATTCTGGAAGGATGATGCCATCATCACTGACAAGCAGTATAATAGACCTTATAGGTGTGTCATTAATGAGTTGAAGACTTTGACATTTATTTACTGGGGCAAAGGGTAACAGACCTTAAAATCCCTTTGTTCTAATTATTGTCCTTCTGTGGAGTCTGTAAATAACTGGTATTGTACAACCAAGGTAGTTCTACTTTGGAAATTTGATGTTGAAGTTCACTTTAATGCCTGGTTCAAGTGGTCTTCAGCATGACAGCTCCTCACTGTGCTTTAACAGAGAGGCCAGAAAAACAAGCTGGTAATCATTGCCACATTTGAATGCCCAGTATGTTTCCACCTGCCAATGCAAGAAGGTTTTGGCAGAGCTGTGCTAAACATTTTAATACCATGAACTTCTCCAAGAAAGGTGTCCACCTCAGTGATCTGAAGAAAATGTTTGTTATAGGACACAAACATGCCAGTGACTGGAAATCCAAGTGTTGTTCAATCCTTGTGCCAAAGGGCAGGGTGTAGGACAGGTGAAAGGAGATGGTGGACTCACAGGCACAGGGTGATCAGCTGGAAAGTAAAGATCTATTTAGTAATGACAGACTAATCACCAAGACAGATTTTAGTTCTGTTATTGAGGATGTCTGACTGCAGTAGTTGATGCAAAGATAACTTGTGAGTAGGCAAGTCTTTATAACAGCAGGATTTGTATTTGTGGTGTTTGTTTTTCTGGTAGGTGTTACCATATAAAGACATATACCACTGAAACCTTTGGCCTGTATAAATGATAAATTTGATAACAATCATTTGCTGGTATTTCCACGTTGCCAGGTATATTTTACTGAAGCTTCCTAGCTGGCTTAGCCTCTGTGGTCATGACAGGCTCAAGCTTTCATTAATCTATAATGAAGTATAGCTTTTGTTGAATAATACAGATTTAAATGTTAATTATAGTTCATAATTTAAATGATGTGGATAACTGTAGTAAGTCCAATTCCTTACCATGAGTGGGATACATTTATTAATACATTGGAGAGCCCCAGTTCTGGAAGGAACTTTTGTAGTGGTGCCTAATGGATGGTGGTGGTGGGATGTGCTGGGGCACTGCTTGGAGTGCTGGTACCTGAGCTCCAGGTGCTGTGAGGCTGGAAAGGCCTGGGGAGGAAAATGAAACCTGATAGAAAGAGAGATTTTTCAGACCTAAAACCACAAACAGATTTATCAATGGAGAGGTTATGAAGTTACCTGAATATAGTTACAAATTGGAAAAAGGTGCATATTGACCTTAAAAATAATAATTACAATGACTGCCTTATAAATTTAAGGTAATGTAAAGGCTGGCAGCTAGAGTTAGGCAGCTGGTGAGAGTGTAGCCTGTGTGAATGACCATAATTCATCTCTGGAACAGTTCCCAGTTCTAATTCAAAACTGGATGCTATTCCATGAAATAAGCGATGGCTCAGTTGCATTTTGACACGGGAATCTGGCAGTGGAAGGCCATTGCTGGTGTTGTTCATTCTGTGCCTAGTTTTAAGTGATCCTCCATCCTTAAAACATAGACTAGGATGTAGTTCTGGTGTGACTGTTAACAGGCTGAGGGCTGTGAGATTCCTGGAGTCAAAGGCTTAGTGCTGAGGAGATGGGCTGGCAGACAGTGAACCAGCAGCATTCCCACGTGTGGGAGCTGGGACACACAGCAACTGCTTTGTGTTTATCATGGAGCAGATCAAAGCATGGAAGGGTGTTCCCTTCAATGAATTGAAAAAAAATATACTCAATTATTTGTAACTGGGGGGCAAGGAGGATTAATTATTCAAGTCAGGGTGAATATTTTAATTTTGGCCTTTTTAATACAGATTAAAACCTAAATTTTTCCATTGCTAAAACATAAGAAGGGGCCTTGAGGGAGCTGTTTGAATAACTGCGCTCAGGAGGGTTTGGTCTCACATCAGAAGCATCTGTTGCCTCCCAGTTCCTCTCTTGCAGGGCTGCAGCACCTCTGGCAGCAGGTACTGGGAGAGCTCTGGGAAACTGGTTTTATGTCCTCCGGTCAGAACATAGCTGTGAAGGAGGGGATGAGAGATCCCTGCTGGGTTTTGTCCTTTCTTCTAATATTTACACATTTTTTTCCCCCAGAAAACCAATATAGAACTAAGAGTCTTTTAATAATAGTTGTTTATGTAGCTGGAAAAATAACATGAGTGCTGCTTCAAAAACATCTGACTGAGCTGGGTAGGATCTTGAAAAATATTGAAGACGCTATTTAATAAATATTTTCTTTTATTCCTCATTTTTGTTTTAATTTTGGAAACTTTGTTGGGTGTATATTTCAGTTTGTATTTCAAAAATTCTAATTGAGTCCCAGTGAAGAATGAGCAGTCTCCTGTCTCTCAAAACCATATTAAAATGTAATAAAAAGACTTTTTCTTTCTATATTGTTGTTTCTATAGTTAAATTTTTCTTAAATTAGGAATGTGAATTTTTAATGGGAAATATTACTATATGCAGGGAAATTATGTTTGGAAACTATTTACAAGGTCATGCAGTGACAAGACAAGGGGGAATGGCTTCATGCTGACAGAGGGCAGGGTTATATTGGATATTGGGAGGAAACTCTTCCCTGTGAGGGTGGTGAGGCTCTGGCACAGGGTGCCCAGAGAAGCTGTGGCTGCCCCATCCCAGAAGTGTTCAAGGCCAGGTTGGATGGGGCTTGGAGCAACCTGGGACAAGAGAAGGTGTCCCTGCCCGTGGCAGGGGGTTGGAATGAGATGGTCCTTAAGACCCCTTACAGCCCAACCCATTCTGTAATTCTGTTCTCACTCCTTCCAAACCCAGCTCAGCAGAGTTTAGGAGGGAGGGGAAATCCTGTTTATTAAAAGACTTTCCAATTCTCTCTCCCTGCAGTGGAATCTCGTATGTGCCAACGACTGGAAGGGACCCCTGAGCACCTCCCTGTTCTTTGTGGGTGTCCTGCTGGGATCTTTCATCTCAGGACAGCTCTCAGACAAGTAAAGTATATACACCAGAGCTGCTGTCTCTTTGATGCTCATTTGTAGGCATTTCTGGTATATCAGCTTTCCTACTAGTGTCTTTCTGCAATTACTAATATGTCTGTTCTGTGACTGTCTAACCTGAGTGTACACAGAGTGGGTAGAGAAATGTGCTGAGCTAGAACAGAATGTTACAAAGATTGTTAGTAGGTGCTATCTACATCTGCTTGTTCTTTCAACAGTCACTCTACAGCAAACTGGTTTTTTATGCCAGAAAACAGGTGTTGGAGATAAGTTTTGTCTGGAAAAATCTAATCAATTACATTCTCTTCTGTTTATTTTGGACTATGTATCCCTGAGTTGGAGATAAGTTTTGTCTGGAAAAATCTAATCAATTACATTCTCTTCTATTTATTTTGGACTATGTTCAGAGGGATCCCTGACTCTTGTTTTCTTTTTATTTTTTTAGTTTAAACAGGGATTTTTCTTTTTATAAACTATAGCTGCTCTTTCTCATTATCAAATACAGCATTTAAGTCCAATGATCTGTATTTGTGGAAGCATAAATGCTGTTCAGCTGTACTCCAGAGAAGCAAGATTTTCTTGTTTATCAGTACAAACATTAAAAAAAAAAGGAAGACACCACTAATTTCTGTGATGCCAACAGCTGTTTGTATTTTGTAAAGCTCAGTTTTTCTGATTCTCTCCCTGGGATTTGCTGTGCATTGTGTGCTGTCTTTCTGATTCCCTGAGAACAATATGTGGTTCTGTAATTTGCTGGTACTTGCAAAGTTTCTGTTTCACTGAAACATAATCTCTATCCATGAATCTTCTGGCATCATTTAGGGCCTTTCCATAGCTTCCTGCCTATCTGGTTGGACTGATCTCAAGCTTAGAGACAGTGATCTTTAAAAATTAACCAGGCCTCCTGTACTTCTCTCCACAGCTATATGCTATGATTTTGTATAAAAAAAATCCCAGGGCAGGCCAGTGTTTGCTCTGCCTGTGATCCTGCCTTCTGCCTGGTTCCTCCCCTCCCAGTCCTGCTCTTTCCCCCTGCACAGCCAGCAGCCTGCTGGCCTGCACACCCCCTCAGTGCACCCTTGTCAGCAGGGTCTGCCTTTGTCAGCTCCTCAGCCTTCTCTGTTAGGAAGTCAGCACTGAGGAGCTCCAGAAATCTCCTGGCTTGTGTCCTGGAGTGTTCAAAGCCCTTATGATGGTCAGTGCCTTTGGACACGAGGAGGGTCCTGTGGTGCTCTGCAGCAGGTCCTGTTTGCTTTTTTCTGAGCAGGTGACTCCAGCAGATACCCAGCACCCATGCTGGCCTCCCTGCTGATCCCAACCCATGATCTCAGCTGGCTTGTCACTCATCCCCAGGCCCAGCTCCATCACTCACGTCACTCCCACGTGACAGGTGATTCCCCTCTTCCCTGAGTCTCTCACTACCTTTTCCTGGTGCTGCTCCTTCAGAAGGTTCAGGTGCTTCCTTCCAAAGAACTCCTTTGTCTGCTACAAGGATCTCCCATGGTGACTACCTGGCAGGTGAAGCAGGAGCTGTTCTGGTGCCAGAATCCATGAGCTTCCTACCTTCACACTGCTGGCAGTCTCCTGCAGCTCCTTCCCCTGGCAGCACAGATCCTCACCAGGTGCAGGTGAGGAGGCCATCGGTGCAGCCCATCCAGTCACTGAGGGACTGCAAGCTCAGGGTCAAGAGCTCCTTCTCTCCATGAGGAGAATGCTCCAGCAAAGCTGCCTGCAGTGTTCTGCACTGCAGTGAGCCTGAGACATGAAGGTTGATAAAGTATTTGGGGGTTTCAAGTTACAGTCAGTTCTTTGTGACCCACAGTGATGCCCCCAACACCAGCTGTAGATCTGTAGGTCAACACAGACTTTGGAGCTGTGAAACCTGCACTCAGCATACCCTGTCCCAGCAGTGTGGGGCTGCCTGGGCCAGGACAGCAGCAACCACTCTTACAGCAGCTTGACAGGTTGAGTTTAGTTTCTTCTCTCCTTGGTTTTTGGGGTTTTGTTAGTACTTCATCAGGAGGTCTTCTAGAATCCCTTAATTTTGTTCATATTTAAACCCAAAGGGAATGAAGATTGTGGCATGGGATCATTGACTGCCAATAGCATCTTCCAAATCTGAGTGTCACCTCTCTTCCAGAAGCCTTTCTTCTTTTTCTCTTTCTAACCTGTTGATCTGTCAGGGACCATGTGCTCCTTAGAGGAGGACAAGCATTGGATACTCTTGCACTTTAAGTAACTTGTTCCTGATGATTTGTTTCACTGCTCATTCTGTCAGTAAGAAAGGAATAGTGTTCCAGCACATACTTGAAGACAACTTAACTAGCAGCCCTTAGAATATTAATTTCTCTTGGCCAGTGATGTTTTTAATGTGTTTAGAATACTTGTGCCTGTGTCGCGTTTCCTGAACCTCTGTTTTTTGCAGAAGTTTTGTATCTCCTTAAGTATGCATATAAGTAATTTTATTTTTCTGTTTCTGTAGATTTCATTCATAATGTTGTTTAATCATATTTTTTTCCCCTTCTCTTTCTTTTTTTAATCTGTTCATGGAAGGTTTGGCAGGAAGAATGTGCTGTTTGCAACTCTGGCAATGCAGACTGGCTTCAGTTTCATACAGGTCTTCTCTACCAGCTGGGAGATGTTTTCAGTGTTGTTTGTGCTGGTTGGCATGGGACAGATATCTAACTACGTGGCAGCATTTGTTCTTGGTATGAAAGTCCTGCTGGTCACTGCATGTGTCCTTTCACCTTGTGCTTTTCCTGCTCCTTTTCAGTACTGACTTAAGGTTGATTTGTTTTGCCAAGCAACACTGTTAAGAGTGTGGCCTCACCATGCATGAATAACTTCTCTTCTCCTTGGAAACTTCCAGCTGATAGAGGTGCAATTTGAATTATTTCTATGGTTTACTGTCCTAAAACCAGTAAAACCCCAGAAACTGACTATTTGAAATAAAATCCATCTTCTAGTTGGAGAGATTATACAAGTGAGACATGATTTTTTGGAGATTGGAACTAGATGGTCTTTAAAGTCTCTTCTAATCCAAACCATTCCACGATTCTATGATTTTTCTGGGATTTCTGATGTCCATTTTGGGGCCTAAATACCTGTTTAATTTAAAAGTTCAAAAGAACCAAGATAGGTAGAGTAATTTTTATAGTCTTCTTTAAACAGCCTATAGTAAAAATTTAACTGTTGTCATGACTTTTGCTTTGTATACTTTCAAGCTAACTAAGACCATATTTAATAATGGGAATGTGAATTACCTCATGAATCTGAGATTTAAAAAAATTAAGATTATTTACAGTGACTTCATTGTCCAAAATACCAAATGGTGGCAAGAAATTATTTCTGAGCCAAGGAAGGCCAGTTCAGGGGTGAAAGCAGTGCTTAGATAACCTCACTGCCCATAGCCTGCTGCAACTGCTGGCATCTTCTTTGATTTCCATGGAATCAAGAAAGATTGTATTTTTTTTCTCTGTCTCTTGATTTGCAGGTCCCAAAACATTTCAGAGGAGAGCACTGACCCCTGTTCATGCATTTAATTCCCCTGGCAGTAGCCTGGTCTTTGTGACCAACATGAATTCCATATGTCTACCCTAAAAGACTGTGAGGTTTTTTGGCTAAATAGTCTTTTAGAAGGTGATACAGGTTGGGAACTTAGTTGAGGCACCTTTGAATTATTATTTAAAGAAGCTGATCACTCTTCATAAGCTGGAGAGGATTCTGGACATCAAGCTACGTTTAAGTGTTGAGAATGTCAGGTGATTTCAGCTCCTCAGGTTAAATGTGAAATTCCAAAATTATAAAATTACAGAAATATGAACTACATATTGAGCTACAGAAATGCTGTGTGGCCCAGTTCTCATTCTTTTACACATATAATTACCTCCATTGGTGCAGGATCACAGCATGAAGCAGCGCTGTGGTGCCTCTCCAACTAGACAGCAAAGTGCTACATCCTGCTACTCTGCAGTGCAGTGCATTTCACAGCCAATTGCTAGGGGTATTTTTGAGTTGCTTGGTTGCTATTAAGTGAAAATGCCAATAATCCCTTTGCTGTTTTGAACAGGCACAGAAATCCTTGGCAAGTCAGTCCGAGTGCTGTTCTGCACCCTGGGGGTGTGCATCTTTTATGCCTTTGGCTACATGTTGCTGCCTCTGTTCGCTTTCTTCATCCGAGACTGGCGGATGCTGCTGCTGGCGCTCACCCTGCCCGGGCTGCTCTGCATCCCGCTCTGGTGGTGAGTATGACTGACTTACAGCGCTGTAGTCTTTAGAAGGTCCTGTCTGCAGATTTTTAAGATGATGAAGCTAATGAAATTCAGGAATGGGTAGGTGAAGAATGGATCTTGTATCCTTTACTCCCCCAGTTGTTTAGCTGTCGGTCTGTGGCATTGTATGTGATCTGACTGATGCCTGAAAAACCTACTCTTCATTTTCTATAGGCTTCTGTAAAATTAAGTCTTTCACATGCAAAGAAAGCAAAAAATGGTCAATAAAACTCATACTTGTGTACCAACTGAAATCCACAGGTTTTTAAGTATAGGTGTGAACTAAGGGCAGAAGGAAAAAAGTTGTTCTGGGCATTGGTAGGGTGACACAGATATGACAAACTACAAAACAGTACTTGCACAGCTGTGGCACTTCCGTGTTTTCTTCTGTAGTTGTTAAAATCCTACTATTGAGTGGCATGTAAAGCTGAAATAGTCCACGTGGTGGTGGTGTTGCTTCACTTACAGTAGCAGTTGTGTTTGTGCTTCCATCTCGGTTCTTATGCAATCGAATGACTGGGGAATTCTGCTCTCTGACTTGCCTTTCTGTCACAGAATTTACAGTTACTAATTTTCCATGTGTTAACCTCTGAGGATATGTTTCTTAACCTACAGCGTGCTGCTTGTGTGTTCACATTTCTGAATTTCTTAAATTAATCCCATCCTTGGAATGTTTAGATTGCTCTTTTTTCTGAGTCACTGCTAATTCCTTCAGCACTTCTGAAATCCATAAGGGCATATTAGTCTGGTCTTGTTCCTTACACTAGATTTACGCTCTTGTAAATCTGATTTCTGTTGTCACTGCACTAATTCCTGCAAGATGTGGCATGTTTAGAAATCTTCCTACCTGGAACAATGTGTTGGTCCCTTCAGCAGCTCTTTCTGTGGAAATGCAGGTTTGTTATTCTGAACCTTCTCTGCAGGGTCATTCCAGAGTCTCCACGGTGGCTGATCTCCCAGGGAAGGTTTCAGGAGGCAGAAGACATCGTCCGAAAAGCTGCAAAAACTAATGGCATTACAGCCCCAGATGTAATATTTGACCCTAGTGAGGTAAGACTTGTTTAGCAGTCTAGTTGTTTGCTGGACTTAATGTAAAGCAATTGATTCCATACAGATGGATGGAGTTATACCTGCACTGCATTCTGTGCTTCTCAAGTGGGTGAAAGATCATTGTTTTCTGCTGAAAAGCACAATACCCTTGCCCTTCATTGCAAAGCCTTTGTGATCCCATTCCCACGGGAATGCCAACATGCATTCTAACGCAAACATCTTTTTCATACAGTTTACAGCTGCCCTTTTTCCTTTTAAACTCTATTTTTCAGAGGAGGATAATGAATTTGAGGTGCATATTGCTTAGTGATCTAAATATTTGCACCAAACAGATTCTGTGTTTATTCAGTCTATAATATCACTCTGTATAAGTCTAACACAGGGCTAATCCTAGCCAGTGACATTGGAAATATTGTTATTCTAGTTCACACTCAACTTCAATTTCTAATTCATGTTAGGGAAAGCAAAACTTGAGCCCCTTTCAGGTAAAGTAGTGACAGGTATCTTTCCCATCTCTTTCTTCCTACATGCTCCTGTTTTCTCTGGAAATCTTCCCTTTGTCTGAGCTGAAGGGTGCCCTTAAGGTGTAGAAGCAGTTCCATAGACATTCAAACATGACCTCAGAAAGTCAAGACAGACAAACTGTTTGTATATTCCAGGAGAATGGGCACCTGGACAGATCTCCAGAATCTGTTTGGGCAGTTGCTGGTTGACAGTTGACAGTGTCTTGTGATTGTCATGGTTTGACACTGGCCCAGTGCCAGGCACCCACGAGAGTCAGAGTCACTGCTCATGCTCTCCTACTACAGCTGAGCAGTGGAGAGGGAAAAAAAATTACCGAAGGTTTCATAAGTGAGATAAGGACTGGGAAAAATATTTCAAGGGCAAAACAGGCTCAACTTAAAGTTGCAAAGTGGATTTATTACTAACAGTCAGAGGAGGATAATGAGAAGTAAAATAAACCCTTAAAACACTTTTTCCCACTAACAGTGCAGGGAGGCGGCGTAGGGGTTTTGGTCAGGTTATCACTGAGATTTTCTTCTGCTGCTCAGGGAGAGGCGTCCTTCCCCTATGAGGCTGTGGAGTCCCTGCCACGGGTGACAGTTCTCCAGAGTGGCTGCACTGTCACAAGCAGCAGCCAAACCACACCTGCTGTGAATGTGAACTCCTCCCACAGGCACACAGCCCTCCCAAAACTGCTGTGGCATGGGTCTCTCTTCCCACGGGGTGCAGTCCTTCAAGGACAGGCTGCTCCAGCCTGGAAGCAGGGCCCTCTCTCTCCTCTGGGTCTTCCACTGGATCACAGCCTCCACTGACCTTGGTGTCTCCAGGTTGTTTCCCTCACATGTTCTCACCTCCTCCTCTTCTCTGGCTAGAAGAAAAATTGTGTGTGTCTCACTTCATTTTGTTTTTCTTCTCAAATCTGTTATCACAGAGGTGTTCCCAGCCTCTCTCGTTGGCCCAGCCCTGGCCAGCAGCATGCCCATCTTCAGAGCCATCAGGGATTGGTTCTGCTGGACATGGTGGAAGCTTCCAGCAGCTTCCCACAGGAGCCATCTAACCCCCCTGCTATGAAAAACGAGGCCATGCCAAACCAATACAGTCCTTTAAGTGAAAATACATATAATGTATACAATGAGTATAATATATTAGTTTGCTTTACAATGCCTCTGTTCTGAGCTGAGGAGAATGGGAAGCCATTAAGCTGTAGGTATTTGCTACTGAGATTGAAACAGCTTCCCTTGTGTTGAAGTCAGCTGAGGTACAGACAAAGCAATATCTCTATTAGGAGATAGTAGGGCAAACATCCTGGTCTTACTGGAGCAGAGTAAGAATGCCAAGAAAACACACTCCTTCTGATACCTTTTCCTCTGCATCTTCGTTAGAATACATATTTTTCTTCTTCTTCTCTCTCATGCTGTGACTATGAAAAATCATCTATTGCCAGCACTGCAGCAGGAAAATAGAAAATAAGCTCTGGCTCCAACATCTGCCTAAGATCACTGCTCCTGGAATCTTCTCTCTTGTTCTTAGAAAGAAACACTGATGTGTTTACTGTCTCTGAATGGGGTTGGATAGTGAAGGAGCAGAAGGCAGGGGCAAGAATAGGGATTTTATTCCAGGAAGTGCTGGACAAGGAGAAATGCTGATGCAGCAGGGTGGGCTGGAGAATGTGGTGTGCATTTACAGACATTAGCACGTCAGCTTACAAGAACATACTAACTGTCTGACCATCAAAGGAAAATGAGTTTGATGAACATGCAGAACTCCTGTCCATCTCTTTGCTTTCTATGGTAAAAGTAATATTGTGGCCAAATGATCTGTGCAAAACTCCTCTGCATCAGTGTTTATGCTGTTCTTGTGTCTGCTTTCTGAAGAGCTGGAAAGCAGAAGGCTTACAGCCTCTTGAGGGTTTAGGAAGCATGTTTATGCTGCAGAGAGGTTCTCAGAAATCTGGCTGGCCCTTTGCCTTCCTCATTTGGAATGTGTGTCTGGGATGGAGGAGCCAGCCGAGCTTATGGCTGGAGGGTTCCTCAAGCCTGTGCAGCTGGAGAGCAGCAACTGCAGAATTGTGACTCCAGAGATTTCAAGCCAGTTGAGTTCCAGCAGGTGATGAATCACAAACCAGCTGTGGAGCACAAATAGGGCCTGGTTGGTTAAGAAGGGATAGAAATGTTTCGATGATAAGTTTAATTTCAAAGCATCATTTTGGTTGCCCTGCCCTTCTCTCATAGCTTCTTGTTTGAGCCTGTCCTGGTAAAGATTACGTTGTCTGCTTATCCAGCTCTTAAAAGGCAAAGACCCTTTTTCTCATCAACTGACTAACAGACTGAATTTTTCTCTTCCTGGTTTTGTTTTATGGTTTGCTTGTTTCTTCTTTTTTTTTTTTCCTTGTTTCTTGGCAACAAAGAGTGGCATGTGGAAGGATCATGTGATTTATGAGAAAGGGCTGTGAGCTGTGAATTGACTACAGTTTGTGTGATGTAAGTTTGGCTTCAGGCAGAGTGAAAGCTATCAAAGGTAAAGGACTGTTTGGCTTTTGTAGAAAATGGGATTGATGAAAGCAAATACACAGAAATTTGGTGTGTGCCAGACTGCTATTTCATTATCCAGATCTTCAGAAGCAACTGTCACTTGGAAAGAATTTTCATGTTACTGCAGGGGTTAGAGAAATTCCAGGTTGCTTTATCTGAGCTGATAGTTTCAATCAATGGAATTTGTTCTCTTAAATCACCTTTTCCATATTTTAAAAAATCTTTCCCTTAGTTCCCCTCTTTAGGAGTCTAAATAAAGTCCTAATTTTAAAAAAATTACTATTTCTTTTTTTACAGTCTTACCAAGCACAGAACTTGTTCTCATACTTTGTGGATGAATACCCTTGCACTGTTTACATAGGAATGATTTTATGTTGAAGGGCTGGAAAGTTTAATGGGGAAAGGAGAAGATTGTTGTCTTTTTGTTTACATTCTTAGAAAATAATCTCAAAAACAGCCTAGATAATGATGGGCACTCTTCAGCTCATTAGCCAGTTTGTCTCAGTTTATTACTCGGAGGTCCAGCTTGAGTAGTCATTGTCTAACTCTGCTGCAGTTTATTGCAGCAATTCTTGTTAATTGTTGCTGTGTCTGCACTGGACAGTTTATCACTTTGTTTTCCTGATATTTGAACACTACTCTGTGTCTTTCAAGATGTCCTTGGTCTTCTGCTTTTAGGCTAAAGAAACCTTCTACTTTTTTTCAAATGTCTCACCGTCCTTGTTACTCTCTTCTAGTCTGAGTGCAGTGCTCAAAACTGGATGTAAGAACCCTTCCAGCAGTGACATATAAATCGTGAATTAATGCTGTTGCTTTATAATTCAAGTAACAAAAAGCAGTTGTTTTGTGAAGCCTCAGACAAAGAAAATTACTTTAGAATCATAGAATGTGCTGAGCTGGAAGGAACCCACACAAATCATCAAGTCCAACTCCTGGCCCTGCACAAGACACCCCAAGAGTCACACCAAGTGCCTTAGAGCATTGTCCAAGTGCTTCCTGGGCTCTGTCAGACTTGGGGCTGTGATCATTCCCTGGGGAGCCTGTTCAGTGCCCAGCCACCCTCTTTCTGATTGTTTACCCAACATAAACATTCCCTGACTCAGCTTCATGCAGTTTCCTTGAGTCCTGCCACGGTCACGAGAGTTAAGAGTTTCAGTCTAAATTTTAAGTGACTTTCAATTAGAGAGAAGCTTCTACTTTCACAAGTAGTTGGCTCTTACATGTATTTTGTTAGACCTCTTTTGTTAAATCTCTTTCAGTAGATAAAAATACTGAGGTATAAGTTAGTGGTAGGACTTAGTTTCATAATCATTATTTTTGCAGGAAGTTGAAGTTCCCATGTTTTGTTGTTTGCTCTTTTACAGCTACAAGATGTGAATTCCCAGAAGCAACAGACGTACACCATTTTGGATCTAATGAGAACTCGAAATATCCTAACTATCACAATTATGTCAGTGCTTCTTTGGTAAGCAAGTGTGATTCAGGAGTATGTAACTTTAAATACTAAGGTATTCTGAAGAGATCCAGACAAAACCAGCTCAAAAAACAATGACTAGCTGGCTGAAAGAACAAAATTCTGGTTACATAGGTTCTTGATTTTGGTGACAGTGTAGAAACACGTGTGGGTTGGTGTTCCTTTCTGAAAGAGTCAGGCTTATCCTGAACTGAGCAAGAATCCAAACAGCTGGCAGTGGATGTGTGGGAATGCTGCTTGATCCTGGGCCTTGGGGAATGCTCTTCTGACTGCAACGAAGTCATTTTAGAGGAATGAGTCATACCCTACCCCCAGTCAGAGAACTTCTGCCCAGGGATCCGAACGTGATGCATGACTTAGGGAAGAATCTTTCCATTTCTTTTGTATTGGCTCTTAAAGGGATAATGCTGCCTTTTAAGTTCTCATCTGAGTCCCTATATTTTCCTGATATCTGCTTTGTCTACTTGTCATCTTCAGCTTGGTTTTCACTAGCTGAAGCCATGCTTTATGCTCCGTTTGATTAAATGGTGGTTATTTTCCTTACCAGAAATCTCAGTAAAGCTGTAAACAGAGAGGGTAACTGAAAACCTGCCAGAGGCTATACAAGTGAGGTTTAATTAGTGCATGTACCTAATGACCAAACCAAGAAGGTCCCTCAAGTGCTTGGGAGCCAACTAACTTTATATGCTGTCTTTTTGAACAATGTTTCTGTTCCTTAGTGAGGCAGAGCCTCAGAGTTCAGTCCACTGACCTGCCAGCACATACAAGATGATGTGGCATCTTAGGTCAAAGGATGATTTGGCTTATATTTAAGCCAGATTCTCTGGCCCGTCACCAAGCATAAGGCCAGGCCACAAACACACTTAGAACTTGTGCAAAAAAAAACAGCTCAAAAAAAAGAGTAATGTTGGTTCCTTGCAGAAATGTCAGTAAGGTGCCTATATGTCTTACTGCTCAAGTCCAGTCACTGACTCTCATGTTTGATTGGAGGTGAGACTGCCCTACTCCTCATCTGCTTGACGTGGGGCAGTAGCTCCTGGGCACAGCCAGTTTTGGGTGTGTGGTTGTAGAAATCAATGGCAAAACCTGTTTGAACAGTATCTCTGGTAGGATGAAGCAACTGAGAGAAGCACTGACATGACAGTATGTAATCCATTCTAATGGATTCAGTAACCCATACTGAAGGGCTTTTTACCACATCAAAAATCAAGTTTTATGATAGGCGGGAAGAGTCAAAGAGGTACAGTTGATTTGCACACCCTTACCTCCTCTTGCAGAAAAGTATTTGGTTAAGTTGGGCAATTTTTTCACTATTCTAATGTGTATGTCAGTGACCTAATCTCCTTTAAATTAATTTCCCAATATATAAAAATATAATATCTTGTGCTTTCTCACAGCACATAGTTTTTCAGCCCATGGTACACTGATAGTATATTCTGTGTCATGAATTAAAAGTTCTCACAAAAAAGGGCTATAAAAGAGGATAGCTGCAGACAGTAATATATCAGCTTTACATAGTGCTGAGTGTTTTGTTAATTTTGACTAAGTAACAGGCCATTAAACTATTCCCTTTGCAGGGTTTGCACCAGGGATGAAGAAGTTTGGTTTCTTGGCACCCTAGGATGTGTAAATACCACTGAAGTTTTTCTACAAAATATATAACTATACTAAGGTTTGCCAATGCAACCTTAAGCTAAGGCAATCTGCTACTAAAAGGGAGTTCCACCATTAGAGTTTGTATATAAAAATAACTCCAAGGAGCACAGGGTGTGAAAAACACTGCAGAACTACTTCTGAGAAGAATGGCTTAGGGCAGGGCACCACAGCAGTAGGGGGTCACTGTCAGCTGTGTCACTTCATGGCTTCCCAGGTGCACTAAGCACCTTTATTTTAAGCAACTGGACCATGAAGGCTCTTCCAATATTCGGTGAGGAGGAGGAAGAGCAAATCTTTTGTCAGTGGTGTACTTGGTGCTGTGCAGAGGTTTTGCTCCAGGTTCTGTCATAAGGTAGATGCTGGTGGAGATGAAGTGCCAAGTGTTCTGTGCCTCATGTTTGCACCTGGACATGTCCTGATCCACTGCCCATTATTTCCTTATTTACCGCATTATACTTGTTGGTAAAGCTTAACCTTCTCTACCCAGCATCTCCCAAGACAGGACAGAGTTTGTCTCCAAGGCCAGTTGTGCATTACATGGAAGCCAGCTGTCAGCTGGCACAAAATTAACATGGCAGTGATCCAGCCACCAAGCTCTGTCCTGATGCACTGACCTAGGCAGCCAGCCATGCCAATGTGATTTGGATGCTGTCCAGCCAGTTTGGAGCATGGCAGAGAAAATCACAGGCTGTTTGGGCCTGCCAAGGTGCCATCCTCTTCCTCTCTGACTTTATACAGAAAGCATGGAGCGTAATGACCCAGAAACAATGCTCTCCACCCAGAGCTTCCTGGTAAACATAATGGAAAGCTGCTGTAGGCCTCAGCAGCAGTAAAATTCAGTAGCTCAGACTTTCAGGTTAAGGCTATAAATGATAGCAATGGGAACTACTGCATTACTGCAGTGTGAATGATCATCGCTTTCTTCCCAGGGTAATAGATATTTTTCTTTGAATTTAAGAGCAGTCTGAAAGATCAAAAGCATCTGCATGGATTAATTGTTGACTTGCTGTTTCTGAAGTCAGCACTTCAGCTGCTTCAGGAGTGAACAAGTCTGCCAGATGCTGAATTTACCTTACACAGCCATTTCTGTGCTTGATGGAAATGTGAAATAGGTTCACGGCAACCTGAGGAAGAAGAGAGATTTATTTGATCCTGCTATTGTTTCTTTCAGGATGATAATCTCAGTTGGCTATTTTGGACTTTCTCTTGACACACCTAACTTGCACGGAGACGTGTATGTGAACTGCTTCCTGTCAGCAGTGATTGAGGTCCCAGCCTACATCATCTCCTGGCTGCTGCTCCGCAATCTCCCCCGACGGTACTCAATGGCTGCTGCGTTATTCTTGGGAGGCTGTGTTCTTCTCTTCATTCAGCTGGTGCCTTCACGTATGGAATCATTAGTTGATCTCACATATCTATGATAGGTGACGTGCAGTACCTTGCACGGGGCAGATGTGGAGGAAAAGTGTCTTACGGGGACTAAATACAGACACTCGTGTCCTGTCTTTGCCCCTCTTCCTTGGTTCTCAGTGCTGCTGCACAAGTAACTGCCACAACAGGACATTCAGATTCAGTTTGAAAGGTGGGTCATTGGCTTTGGGATCGGTTGGGATTAGAATTGTCATCCAGTTTTGCCTCTAAACTACATCTCTGGCAGGGTGTCCTGGTAAGGTCCAGGTGTAAAACCAGAACTAGACCAACCAGAGTTTGGTAAGTGGAAGTTACCAAGGGGCTGCAGAACTCACTTGCCAAACAGCTATTGTTGACTTTAGAGTTTGTTTAAAGAGTTTCTTTCAGTGGAGTCATTGTGGAAGTATTTTTGATAAGCAGAGATGTTTGTACTGAATTAGTGTTGATAGTTAAAATAATATGTAGCTGCTGGGAAGGAGGGCCAAGCAACATCTATTGGATCTCAAACCATACGTATCTTTAGTCCAGTTAGATTAACAGGGCTATGGAGTCATTACTGATAATAATATTGAACATAATAGGAGGTGGTGTTGCCTAGGACTCATTTAAAAATCAAAGATATACAAAAGAGAATGTGCAAGAACTGTCTTGCTTATATTATACAGGTAATATGTGTGCTGCATTGTCAGGTTTGGGTGGTTTTTTCCCCTGTTCTTTGAGTTAATTGGACACCGATACAATCTAGTTTGATTTTCAAATCTTAACTGTCCCAGTTAAAGTCAACCCACCTTCCTAGAATTAAATTATTATAGCTAAGAGTGTTAATGGAATGAAGAATGTAGCTAAGAATGTTAACGAAAAAACAGAGTTTTAGGAAACCTAAAATAAAATAATTTGTTTCAAATGTCTTACTTTGTTCACTTTATTAAAAAGGGATATATGGCATTTTCTGCAATAGCAGAGGTCTGGCCCCTGAAACCTGAGAGGATCTCAGTAGTTCTGGCTCTGTTCTCCTTATTTTTCACTGGGCAGGAAGCCTTGTTCTCAAGAGAAAATGGAAATGTTGACTTCTAGTAATTTAAAAAAGAAAACATTAAAAAAGAACATTGCTTATGTTTGTGGATATTTACAGGGAAAAAAGACACCAGATATTGGAGTTAATTAGGCAAGAGTTACACAAACACAGAGGAGTTAAGGGATACAATGAACTGCAGGAGCCTGAGCCCTGACTGTGTTTGGATTTCAGATCTCCGTGCACTGTCTATTCTGCTGGTGATGTTGGGCAAGTTTGGAATCACGTCTGCCTTCTCCATGGTTTATGTTTACACGGCTGAGCTCTACCCAACAGTAGTAAGAAACATGGGAGTTGGAGCAAGTTCCATGGCCTCCAGACTGGGCAGCATCCTCTCACCTTACTTTGTTTACCTTGGTGAGTCACCTGGGCTCCTGGAGAGATGCTCCAGAGACTCAATTCCCTTGCCTCAATCAGGACACTTCTTACAGCTATTTATTCCCACTGCCTTGAGTTCCTACAACCACAGTTACAACAACATACACTTTGAATGTCAGGCTGATGGGGGTTGGTTGGTTTTGTTTTTACTGAAAACACAGATCTTACACAGGTAAAGCCCTGAACCTTGGTACAAACATTACCACAGAACCACAGAATGGTCTGCGTTGGAAGGAGCCTTAAATATCATCTCATTCCACCTCCCTGCCATGGGCAGGGACACTTCCACCAGACCAGGCTGCCCCATGCCCTGTCCAACCTGGTCTTGAGCACTTCAGGGATGGGGCATCCACAGCATCTCTGGGCAATATCAGAAACTTAGATGCAGCATTTTTTTTTCTTTCTTTTTTTCTTTTTTTGTGCTTTACACAGGTGCCTATGATCGATTCTTGCCTTACATCCTGATGGGGAGTCTGACTGTGCTGTCAGGAATTCTCACACTATTCCTGCCTGAAAGCTATGGTATGCCTCTGCCTGACACCATTGATCAAATGCTGCGGGTGAAAGGGTAAGTGCCACCTGATTCAACACTCCTCTGCTCTGGGGAATGGACTTGCCTAGGTGTGGTCAGAGGGAGAGGCTGGTTTTGGCAGCAAAGGTAGTACTCTGTTGAAAATACAAAAGCTTAGCTGAAGTCTTAGTCCCTCTTCCCAAGTGTAAATGTTCATGAGTACATCTCTCAGCTCCAAATTTATTATTTGACTCTGATGACTTAATAAAAGTACATCTGAGGAATGCATTCTAAAAGTGTGTTGCTTTATCAAGGTATAGGAACATGTTGTAGATCCTGAAAGTCTCCTAAGTGCTGGGGAAGAGCTGAACTCTTCCAGTTTAGTTCAGCTGATCCAAAAGGCACAGAGCATTTGGCCCTTTGCCATGGCTCTGACTGAAGATGACACATAAGCACAGATGTGGTGTAAGAAAGGGACCTTTTCAAATGAAGTCAACAGGATATTAAAATTAGGAGGCTGTAATGTCAGACAGGACTCAGATTTTTTTTTTCCTAATTTCTTTCATCTGTTTTTAAAGTTATTTTATTTTTTCTTTCTTCAATCCCCAGGTTAGAATACAGGCCTCCATCTAGTAGCACAAGGGATTCCAAGGAGGAAGAAGAAAATCCAGAGATTTTTAAAAGCACAGCTTTTTGATGGAACTCCTGTGTATTTCCTGGTGGACTGAAAGTTAAATGGACTTTTCTTCTAAAATTTATCCTAGAAAGGGCTAGTGACAACACTTTGTTTTCTGTAATTTGAACCTTATTTATTAATTTAAACACTGTGTTCCCTACATTCTCTTTTTATATGAACATAAATACTTTGTAGCCTTCAGTGAGATTTTTCAGCCATGGTTGAGTTCATGCAGTAGTACCATGGAGCAGAATCTGATCAATCTTTTGTAACTTTCCACGTATAGTTCAGCTGAAAGATACTTGAAAATGAGTTCAAGGGCTGGCAGGGGGCCTGGATTCTTCAGTGAACCTCCTCCAGAGCTAATGCTTACATCAAGAGGTAAAAATTGCCTGAAAAAGTTGCTCATTGCTTTTGGTTCCTTGACTTCTGTTTGTGGACAGGAAACTTATTTATTATAGGGAAGGTTTATGACAATGTGCCTCTCTTTGATCTTACTCAAATGACTTTGCATATGCTGAATTTGTTACCAAATTGAGAAAGATGCAAAGAAAGATTTTGAGAATTAATCATAACGTGTTATGTTTTAACTCAGCATAGACTGAAAGGATTGCCTTGCACAAAGTATTTAGCACTGAAATTTTGTTCACAAAATTCACTTGATTCCAATGCTGGATTTCAACTGTACCTTCTTGGTGAAGTCGTTTACATCTGACCTTGGATATGGCCTTTTTTCAGGCTGGATTTATTCTAAATAATGCAAACGGTTTCACCTGTGTGTAAAGGGAGTGTGTTAGTTTGGCATTCTCCCTTTTCAATATGTGGTGAAAGTTTTATGTATAAATTGTTTTAATGTTTTCTGTGCAACTTGGATGATGGAAACAATTCTCCTGTCTTTGTCCTGTGTTTTTCCCACTCATATACACATGCACACGATTAATATATTTAGTTGTGAATTTTCATGTTAATCATGCCACTGCACTGACCTCATGGTGGAATGTACTGAGAACAAAACTCAGAATATATCACTGACCCCTGATTCTCCAAGTGTCAACTATATGATTGCTGTGAGGTCTGTTCACTCTAAGTTTCACTTAACTTATGCAATCAGTGAATTGCTTTTAAATTGTTTTTTAAAAAACCCAACAAACCCACAAATCTTGTTGTCAGTCTGCCAAGAAACCATTCCTTGTGTTATGGAAGTTTGGCATTGCCTGTGTTTCTTTAAATACACAAGATATATATGTACACAGAGTCTCATTTGTGCTATGCTGGTTACAGTGTGACAAATGTGCGTGGTGAAAGGTTTCTCTCTCATGGCACTTGTGTTTTGTTTTGTCTTGTTACATTAAGACAATAATAATAAACAGCCTAAACCTTTGTAGCCTAAACTCTCAGGGTCCTTACTGTACTGCAGCAGCTGGTTGGGGAAGTTTTGCATTTTCCTATGGTGTTTAAATATACAGGTGGTGTTGGCTGATTCCAGTCTTTCATTAATCAATATCCCAAATTCTGACCTTGGTAACAGACTCCAGCAATGGGACTGATGTGTACCTTGGACTGCTTGTCACAGGAAGAAAGTAGAAAATGCTGTATAGACTATAGTGGTTTGGTTTGGTTAAATTCTTCCTAACAGTGTCTTGAGCTCTAGGGTTTGCTTCACTTTTCCTGCATTTTCTCACCTCCTTATTTAGGATTTGCATTTACGAATGCAGCAGGGAGCTGACCAATGTCCCCAGGCCAGAGAATGATACACAAGCACAGTGTTGTCAGCTTTTCCAAGGAAAAAAATTCAAAGCTTGGGGCAGATTCAGTGTCACTCCTCTTTAGTAGGTTGACAAGCCCTGAGCAGGCAGGTTTAAAATGCAGTATGTGATTTGAGGCTACTGCCAAAACTGAGAATCTGGATTTTACAAGCCTCACTGCACATCACAGGACAGCCTTGACATGAACAAATACATGTCAGGATAGTGCATGTAACAGCCAGTCCCCCTTTCCTGAAAACATGACCTGATCTGTTAGGTTTACAGCCTCTTTGAAATACCCATTGCAAGAGTATGTTGTAAAACATAGTACAAATAGTTTTCTTTGTAAACCTTATGTTTAGGAACTGGAACATTGCGAAGCAGCTTTTTTTGTGTGTGTTGAAGAATGATCTGGTAACTGCAGGAATCTGAGGCAAAACACATTTAGCTGCAGCTTCCTTGTAATGAATTTGCCAATGTAAACAACCATGTCCCATAAGGCTCTTCCTGTAAACAGCTTCAGAAAATACCCTGAAATGTAAAATACGTGCTTGCTTGATAGATTATTTAGTCTGGAAATTCCAGTCCTAAAGTGCAGTGTCAATTTAACATCTGATTTAGCTGTAATTTCTTACCCACTCTTTTATCAAAGTATGTGCCTTGAAAGAGAGACATTTTTTCTTGAATATTTAAATATTTTTATGTTTACTGAAGTTCTTTGTGAGGTTTTCTGTTGTTATGGTTGGTTTGGGATTTTTTTTTTTTTAATCCAGATTGGGGAATTTCCTGATTGTGACTAATACTACAAAAATCAATGGCAACCACTTCACGTCAAAAAAAGGTTTTTTCTCTTGCTTATGTTTTTAAAAACAAAGTTTGAGTCAGAAATGTGGAACATAATTGATATAGCAGACTGGGTTATTTTGTACTTACTGTTTTATCCTACTCTTTTCAAGTTCAGTTCTAAGCCAAGGACTTTGTTCTAGTAGGTAACAGGCATCTCCAAAAGGAACTGAGGAAATATTTTAATAAACAAGATACAGATAAAAGGACCTGATACAGTAATGGGCAAATCTTAGAGTGGTGTCCATGCTGGCAACAGATAAGATTTGCAGCACAGAGTATGTGCAGAATAGGGAGAAAGGACAGAACTGACTTTTGGAAGAAGAATTGTGATAAACCTGTGAGCTTGTGCTGCAGAGGAAGAAGATGAACAGACTTTGACACTCAGACTGACCTTAACCAGGGAAGTCCTGCATGATTTGGGTGCCTATAACCTGTATCACAGCAGCAATGCATGTTAGTTACCTGGTTAGGGAGGATTCCCTGTTGCCAGAGAACAATCACACTGCCATATCTTCACCAAGGGAAGTAGCATATGGCCTTGGGGACAAGGATCTCTTCCTTTCCAGCTCTCAGGCTGACTCCTGTCATCCTCTCAGCCATGTCACATAATCCTGTGACTTCTGTTTCTTTGCTTGGAAATGCCATTAACTCAAAAGGTACCACAACTGCTTGTGATGTTTGTGCTCCACAGTCAATAATTGTTGGAATCTCTGACTCTCCTGACAGTGAATGTAATGCTCCCATAAGCATCATTTAGTACTTCATCTTCCACGATGGGGCAACTTTAGCTGACTTCTGACACTGTTTTGTGAAGAGGTGTGAATTCCTCCCCCCTTTGCAAGTGAGCATTGCAAAGGTGCAGGGGAAGGTGGATGGGTACACAGGGAGGGGGTGCATTGCCCGGGGAGCTGGACTGTAACACCTGTTTCAGTATTTGTAGAATAGAACCTTAGTCCTGGCAGTTATAAATTATTTTCATAAAACATAGAATCAGCTTAGGACCATAAAGCCTTAGGTAGACGTGCTTTTGGGAGTACCTTAAACCAGTAATGGCTACAGCCTTGTACATAGAAAGATAAATTTCTTCTAAGAATGTAAATATTCCTAGCTGTACCTACATTGATTCTTACCCTAGTTTTTTTTAATAGAGAAATGCTTGTTATTTGTAAAATTAAGAATAAAATGTCTGGAATTATCTTTAAATTTTTTTTTTCATCTTCATGTTTAGAAATATATCCTAGTATCTATTGAAAGGCTCTTGGTATGAAGTTTCATTGTTTAACGGCCACTCTGAGATCCCTTGGACTGTCTGTACCCTGGATCCTTGTATAAGAGCTCTCTGTGTACATCCAAATAGCAACAGGCCTGCAGTGCCCAGGAGCCCAGCAGCCCAGAGCCCAGCAAGAGATGCCAGCAGCACTTGTGCAATGCAGATGTGCTGCCCAGGATCTGAGCAGAACGAATTACCCTTTTAGAATAAACAGCAGGTCAAGAGACAAGATTCTATCCCTCTACTCTGCTCTTGTGAGACCCCACCTGCCATGCTGTGTCCAGCTCTGGGGCCCCAGCATCATAAGGATGTGGAGCTGCTGGAGCCAGTCCAGAGGAGGTCCTGGAAATGCTCTGAGGGCTGGAGCCCCAATGCTCTGCAGCTGGGCTGGGAGAGCTGGGGGTGATAGAAGAGAAGGCTCCAGGGAGACCTGAGAGCCCCAGCCCCTGGCTAAAGGGACTCCAGGAGAGTGGGAGAGGGGATTTGGACAAGGGCATGGAGTGACAGGGTAAGAGGAAATGGCTTCAAACTGTCAGAGGACAGGGTTAGATTAGAGATTGAAAAGAAATTCTCAACTGTGGATGGGCAAGTGCCTACTGGAACAAGTTGCCCAGACAAGCTGTGGCTGGCCTATCTCTGGAAATATTCAAGGTCAGGTTGGATGGGCTTAAAACAATCTGATCTAGTGGAAGGTGTCCCTGCCCATGGCAGGGGTTGAAATGAGATCAGCTTTAATATCTCTTCTAACCCAAACCAGTCTGTGGTTTCATGTAAAACCCCTGGTGCCTCTAGCAGCCTGTGCACAGTGGCTTTTCTTACATTTGGGGTCATTCTTCTGCACAGAGCCTGGGAGCAGCATTCCAGAAATTCTTGTTCAGAAACAAATGCTTCTGAGAAAAAAAAAAAAAATCTTCAAAACGAGAGACTGCACTGTGTAAAGCCAGTAGTTTCTGGAGATGATGTCCACAGCTGCAGGGAGATAGTTTTTCTGTCTCACTTGCACTGCAGATCTTTGAATCCTCACAGCAAGTCTTACCTGTGTCACTTGACTCTTTGCCTGACTTCTAACAAACTACAAGTATACTGCCTCCTAGGTCAGCTTTACTTCGAGGCAATGTAAATAATGAGTGATAAGCAGCAACTGTCCAAGAACACCAGGTAATTGATTACCTGAAGAAAATACCTTAAAAGCCTGCAGTCACTGAGTGAGCATTCCTGGTAGCAGCTGTTGCCTCCTGGAGTGAGCAGCTGTGCAGGAGGGGTATTGCAGACCAGCTGAGGAGGATGTTCCTTGTTCCTGCAAAGCACTTCTGAGAGTCCCAGCTTTTCTCCCCTTGGCTGTGTCAGTGTTGGTTTTCTGCTAGAAGTGAGACTTCTTGAAGTATCTTAATTGTGACCATGTGGAGGGTTCTTTGCCCCTGAGGTGAACCAACTTAATTTCCTTTCGATTTATTCATTATTTGTTCTTAGGCATAAGAACTCTTCAGTGCTCTGATAGCTTTATCCAAGCCACCAGAGTTCATGCAGCTCCTGCTCTCAATTGCCGAGAGGGTATCGGTCAGAGGGAGCTCTCCTGTTATGGGACTGCTGCTTTCCCATGAAGAAAGTTTCTCCCACCACTCCAAGTGCCTTCTCATCAAGTCCCCAGAGGTAAATGACCTTGTGGGAGCTGGGTCTGCCATATCTACAGGGACTCATAGAATCGTTCCGGTGGGGAAAGGCCTCTAAAATCATCCAGTCCATTTCCCCAGCAGCACTGCCAAGCCCACCACTAAACCCTGTCCCCAGGTGCCACATCTACACATCTGTTAAAGCCCCTCTGGTCCCTCGGTGAGCAGCCTTAGTGCTTCTTCACCTGCCCTACTGCAGGTCAGGGGAAAATCACGGCCGGGCGCCTGGGGAAGAGGTGACCCCGCAGTGTGAGAGGCGGCCGGGGCAGCCGCTTTGCTCGCAGCCCCGGCGTGCCGCCGACTCCGGGCCGGTGCCCCTGGGCCCCCCGCCCCTGTTCCCCGAGACCTCTCCCCGAAGGCGGCCGGCAGCCGAGGCCGCCCCTCCTTCGCCAGGGAAGGGAAAGCGAAAGCGGCGCGCGGTGTCGCACGGAGCGGGGCCGGGGCTGGGGGCGGCCCAAGGGCGGTGAGGGGAGCGGGCCGGCGGCGGAGCGGGCGATGAGGGGAGCCGGCCGGGGGCAGAGCGGGCCGGCGGCGAAGCGGGCGATGAGGGGAGCCGGCCGGGGGCAGAGCGGGCCGGCGGCGAAGCGGGCGATGAGGGGAGCCGGCCGGGGGCAGAGCCGGCCGGCGGCGAAGCGGGCGGTGAGGGGAGCGGGCCGGCGGCGGAGCGGGCGATGAGGGGAGTGGGCCGGGCCGGGCCGGGGGCTGTAGGCCCCGGCGGGTCTGGCAGCGGGGATGGAGCGAGCGGCTGCCGGCCAGTCCCTGCCGGCCCTCGGCGCTCCCTTCTCCCCATCCTCCTCCTCATCCTCCTCCTCCCGGCCGCGGGAGGTGCGCGCTCGGGAGCGGTACCGCCCGTTCGGGGTTCCCGCACCGCTCCGGCCGCTGCCGGTCCCGCACCCCACGGGCTGGGTCTTGTGAGCTCCCGGTGAAGCCTCTGGAAGCCTGACCTTCGCAAGTGTTTATCTTCGCATGTGTTTATCTCTCGAAAGTAGTAAGATACTGGCGTAGATGTCCTAGAGAAGCTGTGGGTGCCTGTTCAAGGCCAGGTCAAGTAGGGCTTGGAGCAGCTTGGTCTGGTTCCTGCCCATGGCTGGGTGTGGACTGAACGAGCTTTAGGGTCCTGGTGACCCACACCATACTGTGGTTCTGTGATTCGGTTCAGGGGTTTCTTTGGTGCAAGTGTTTCCCAAAGTGCTGGGAAGCTGGTTGCTGCTGCCCAATGCTCTGATGCTTCAGTTTATCCCACAGCAAATTGCTATCTTCAAGTTTTCAGTTGCTGACAATTCTGCCAACTTTAGTCGTTTGAGCTGAAAATGTTGTGACCTGGGTGACTGCCTCAGCTTGGCTTTCCTTTCTGTGTTCATTTATTGTCTTCCATCCAAGAGGGAGGCAAGGACTGACCCTTGGCTCTCAGATGGCCGTAGTTCTGGTGACCTTTCCTTGGAGCAGCACTGCCTGCCCAACCTCCTTCTTAACTCCAGCAAGGAATTTATATCTGGGAAGGGGGAACAGATTTTGTAAAGATCTCTTGCCCAAGTATAAGCTGATTTGCAGAAATTATAATAAACTATAAATTTAATTTCTTTCTGTTCTATCTCAAGTTGGCTATTGATTGTAGCTCTGGTACAGATTGCTGCTGGTGGACCAGAGTGTGAAGAAAAGGTCAGGAACCTGAAGGGGGTGAGGCATTAATGTGGCTTTAGCAGACACTGCTGGATAAAGGGCTAATGTTGAGGTTGGACTAAGACTAAACTATAAATTGCTGAGGATGGAGACCAATGAGGACAGGGTGCTTTACCCTTGCCGTGGCAGATGAAATTCAGTTTGTTCCTCTAGCAACAGCTGTAATCAATATATAAATGCAAAAGCCAATAACTGTATTGCCATTTGTAACAAGAGGAAACCTGGAGGGCCGTTATTGGTAGAAGAGAGATGCAGGAGAGCAGAAGTGGGCTGGGTCTGGTAGAGAAACTGCAGGTGGATTTCATTGAAGAAACAGGCAAAGGAGATGTGAGGTGTCCTCCCCTGAGGGGCAGTTAAACTGCTGCTAAAAGTGCTCCATTATTTCAGAGGAGTTTGAGTCAGTCCCCTTTGCCCTATAGAGCCTTTGCATTTATTTTAGCAAAATATGTCTACAATTTACGCTGCCCAAGTAAACCTCTCGCAGCTGAAACCGCATCCCTGGAGAAAAGGGAACGCCTTGTGTGGCTTTATTGACTTTCATGGTTGTGGTGAAGAGCCTCAGGGCAGGCTCTCCTCTCTCTTTACCTCTGTCAGCTGATGGGAGGAATACTCTTGGAGAGAAGGTGGTTTCGTGGGTGAGATGTTTTTGTTCTAAGTGAACCCTACTTAAGGAGATTTATACACTAGTTATACAACTTAAATGGTGCTCATCTCCTATACAATTAACACGGTGATTAAACTGAATATAGCCCACTTACCTGGCTTTCCTGTACAAACATCTTATTTTCCATCAGCAAATTAGCATGACTGAAGGGCTGTAAAACCAGTTTTCTCTGAGTGTTACAGGGAAGGGATCGTCTTGAATAACATAGCACTGTGTTGAGCGGGTCAGAGGTGGCTGCTGACCCCTGGGCATGGCTCAGGCTCCACAGATGAAACAGCTTTTGCCTTTGCACCATGTAATGGTGGAAGGTGCAGAACAAGATTTGGATGTGCCAAACTTTAAACTTCTGCCTTCTTTTCTCTGGGTTTCCCATAAGAGTTGTTGAAAGGCATTTGTTATATTTTGGCCACCTAAAGCATTTACCTGGTGACCTCCATGTCTTGCAAACTAAAAAAATGTTCTTCCCGGGGACAGTTGAAATACTGCTCCTTCCTGGGGAATGTGGGCTGTGAGCCTCAGAAATTAAAGATGCAGGGGTCCTGGGCTCATCGTGCCCCAGGCTGCAGAGCCGTGATGCTGAGGGACAGCCTGCATGGTCCTGCCAGCCCCGGCAGGTGGGCCTGGGCAGCTGCTAATTACCTGCTTGTCATTAGAGGCAGTGACACCTGCTGATGGGAAGAACTGAACGGGCCTTTCTGGAAGCATGACATTGATTTTAACATGGTGTCAATGTGCCTTTAATGTATTCGATTATCGCTGTCAGTGCCTGTCTGGCAAGGCTTTTCAGAAGCCCGTGAAAAGCTGCAGGAATGTTTGTCCTCAGGAGCCCCAATCCAGCT